GCGCGCGTGCGTGCGCGCGCGTGTGTGTGTGTGCGTGCGCGTGTGCGTGCGCGTGTGTGTATGACGTAACACGCCATCTACGTGTAATCACACTGTATGACGTAGCAAAACTGAACCATAATTGAGCATAAACGCCCTAAACGCCCAGTCGTGCGCGATGCATGCCACCGTGTTTGTTTACCGTCGTCCGAGGATGGCTATACGAGCAGCTCGTTCACACGCATGCGCGGGCGGCAGTATATGCGCAGTCTCTGCCTTTAGGGCAATAATTCTCCCTCGTCGCGGTCCGTCTCTCACATCGCTCATGCAAATCATGGATGCATTGCATGCTAACGGGAAGGTTATTGTTTGACCGATGGATGACCCTAACCACACGCCAGCTATAGTTCGTGACCGCAAGGAAAGAGTTACATGCTGCTAGCACTAATCGAAATAGTTAGAAACTACTATACATACTATCAAGACCTAATAAATACTTATAATACTGCTGCTATAATAAATAGGTAGTTATTAGCTCTTGACACTACTATAGACATCAAGAATACATAATGGAAGATTATGTACTCCCCCATTATATACTTTTGATAGACATGTTACGTAGAAATTATTGTAGATGTCCAATTCGAAAGGTATACAATACGGTACATTACGATACACCACGATACACTGCGTGCGATTTTATACGCTATAGTCATCGTTACTTAGCCTTTGCTGGAATTAAAAGGTATATATACGTCTGTTTATGTACACGTATATATATATTATATATATATATATATTATTTATATATATATATATATTTATATATATATATATATAGATTACATATATATACGCGCGCGCGTGGGTGTTTACTGGCCAACACTACCACGTGTGTTGTTGCTGGGTGAATTTGGGTTTATTATTAACCGACTATTAAACGACCCTGTTTACTGCTTACAACTACAACTGTCTACCTATTTTACTGTTTGAAATCAGGCGACAAAACGAACGACCGTCACGCGCTCGTGCATGGACCGACTGACATGAAAAGCGCAACACGACATTCCGGATCTTCTTGTGTTGATGAAATTCGAATCATTCAATTTGTGTGCGTTTGCGTGTGTGCGTGAGTTTGTGCGTCAGTGTGTGCGTCAGTGTGTGCGTGAGTGTGTGCGTGAGTGCGTGCGTGAGTGTGTGCGTGAGTGTATGCGTGCGTGTGCGCGTGCGTGTGTGCGTGCGCAGGAGTTTTGTTTACGCTATATAGCAGCAGGCGGAAGCTAAGTGTGGTCGTGTGGTTGGACTGCATGACAGGTATATACACGCCGTCAGCTAGCTAACATGGAATGATAGGCGACAGGTATGTCACACCTGTATGTACACGCTGTCAGCTAGCTAACATGGAATGATAGGCGACAGGTATGTCAGGCCTGTATGTACACGCTGTCATCTAGCTAACATGGAATGATAGGCGACAGGTATGTCAAGTGATAGCTTCCTGCATTAATTACTATTAGTGCATCACATGATAAATCGTTGAAATTCTATTGGATAACGTCGCAGGTACTATGAAACTATTTAATATTGCTTGCGCGACGCATTGTTATCAGGGTTCGACACTAACGCTAGTCCGTTAGTCCGAGACTAGTAAAAAATCAGAAGGACTAGTAGATTCCCATAGCAGTTAGTCCGGCGGGACTAGTTATATTTTCCCCGTCCCTCACCGTCCCAATTTCCCATCGATTTTACCGGCGGCAGCATCACTCATCCAAGATCCAAAGTGCTATATATAACTCGTCCCCATTAACAAGTTTTCCCTGTTAGACGTGCTAGTACAAGTAGATGCTAGCACGCTCTGCACGCTCTAAGCAAGCTACTAGACCCTACGGCAGTACAAACATTGTTAAACAATGGGGCCATGAACCCAGTCACCAGAACCAGAACCAGAACAGGGGAACGACAGTAGCTGTTGACATAGAACAAACGGTCTGATTGTAGAAATGACGCAACTAATCAGTTATGTACGTTCTCATAGCGAGGTATTTACATCGCAACCACATCGCATGCGTGTGTTACTTGAAGCAGTCGATACAAATAGTAGTGAAGCTAATAGTATAACTACTAACATCAAGGTTGTTATGTGGAAGTATTTGGACGGCGCTCGCCCTCCACCTTCCAAACGTAAATCGCAGGAGGAGAAAATAGATGGCCAGCGTGTCTATGATAAGACGAAAAGGATGCGTGCGTTCCAGCCAGCGTGGAAATCGTCATACCCGTGGCTAGAGTATGACCCAGCCAAGGGTATGACTTGTGGTGCAGGCTGTATGTCTGGTAGTTTTTTCACCGGCACTACAAACTATCGTTTGGAAACCGTTAAACTTAAAGCACATGATGCTTCCGAGGGGCACAGAAAGATCCTAGCAAAAAGAAATGCAAGGACCATGCCTGTTCACGAAACAGTGGGGGCCCAAGTGACCCAGAACTGAGATTGAAATGGTGTGTGGCGATCAAAAGAGGTGATAAAAGTGCACACGCACGCACACACGTGTACGTGCACACGCACGCACACACGCACGCACGTGTACGTGCACACGCACCCACGCACGCGCGCACGTGTACGTGCACACGTACGCCCGCACGCACGTGTACGTGCACACGCACGCGCACACGCACGCACGCACGCACACACGTGTTTGGCCCACGCATGCACATACACGCACACGCACGCACGTGTACGTGCACACGCACGCGTCTACGTGCACACGCACCCACGCACGCACGCACGTGTACGTGTACGTGCAGATCAGCTTTCCTCCCAGATGTCTTTGCACCTCTACTTTGCAACTCTGATTTCAATTCATTTACGGTTTTCCCTTCGTAACTAGACGCCATTGTTTAGCAGTGATACCGGACAGTGCACGCGCGCCATCTATCCAGCGATTAGTAAATGGCGAACCCCATTAGAAATGCACATGCTATTGGAAAAAACGGCAGGCCCTACACCGATTACGTCAAGCTGTGCCAGCTTGACAAGGCCAAGGGGTTAGATGTCGGCAGCACTTACCTCACCGACAAGGTAGCCGATACAAGGCGCCGGGAACAGTTTGTAGCTATAAATGCGGCCAAATTCCTTGCTGTGATAAGTGATGGATCCACAGATTCCTCATCAAAGGAGGCCGACATTTTATTTTTGAATTAAAATGTTATTTAATTTAAATTTTAATCTTATGATCCATATCAAAGTTACATGTATTTTATACAATTGAATGTCTTTTACAAAACCTTTCTGGGGGACACCCCTTGTACCCTGGGAGAGACCCCCTGTACTCCCTAGCAGAAGGGGGGCTCCACCCTCCTACCCCACCTACCTCCTGGCAAATCACAATACTCGTCGCTCTGCGCCTAGTAAGAGTCCTTCGGCAGGACTAGTAGAATCTTGGAAGGACTAGTACATTTTTTCTTTTACTAGTCCTGTGGACTAATGAACTAAAATGGTTAGTGTCTAACCCTGATTATTATAACGCATTTTTTTAATACAAATTGAAATTGTTCGTTTAAGAAACATTGTCTTATTCACTTCATATTTGCCGAGTAGATTGCAAAGTCATGTGATGCACTAAAACATTAATGCCTGTTGTTGGGGGCACTATGAGAGCATAGTGCCCCAACAACAGGCATTAATATATAAATATGATTAATATCTCTATGTTGCTTTACAGGTTATAAGAGTGGCGTGTCTTCTATCCTTCTCATCCCTAATGTGTGGCTGTTGATTTCCTTATATAGCTTCTAGGAGAGCTACTGCTAGATAGGCATAACTTCACGATCATGAAGAAGTACATCAGCAATCCAGAAAACCTCAAGATGATGATGAACATGCTGAGAGAGAAAAGTAAAAACATACAATTCGAAGCCTTCCACGTATTCAAGGTTTGTAAATAAAAACGCGTCTATCTCTTCTCTCCACACGTAACGATTGTTAACTGTTCAAATAATGAGTAAGCTAGATGACTTGACGAACGAGTCGTGAGTTGACATTCATTAAATCATCGTAGACTACTACCGCACTCGCTGCAGTTGCTAAAAACATTCTCCTGGTTTTCTTGCTATATATATATACAGTCAACCCGGTGTAAGAGCGAGAGAGGGAGAGAGAGAGAGAGAGAGAGCGAGAGAGAGAGAGAGAGTGGAAACGGAGACAGAGGGAGAGAGAGATAGAGATAGAGAGAGCCCGAGAGAGGAGAGAAGAGAGGAGAGAGAGCGGAGAGAGCGAGAGAGAGAGAGAGAGAGAGAGCCGCAGATAGACGAGAAGAGAAGAGATGGGAGGAGAGAGAGGAGAGAGAGGGAGAGATAGAGATAGAGATTTAGAGAGAGAGAGAGAGCGCGGCGGAGCCTGTAGCATATTACGGCTAGGTTTTACAGGGCGAAGCAATAGCTGCGCAAGAACAGGAACTTAAAACAGCAGAAATTCCCCCCCCCCCACACACACCACCCTCCTCATAGCTACCACACCTATCTCTGCGCCGATCTATCTATCTATCTATTCGTATCTCATCTATCTAGCTATCTATCTATCTACTCTTCTATCTATCTTATCGATCTATCTATATCATATCTATTCTATCTATCTATGCTATCTATCTATCTAATTAGTATCTATCCACCTATCTATCTATCTAGGTTATCTATCTATTATCTATCTATGCTATTATCTATATATATATATAGATATAGATATATATATCTACCATAGATATATATAAATGATATTTATATATACTATTATAGTAATATAGATATATATACTTATATATAGATCATCAACTTATTTACCTTCTTTACCCATCTTATCTACCACGCCCTATTTATCGTTGAGAAAGGTAATTTAGCTTAGTGTGTGCTGTTAGCATTTCAAGCACGTAATATCATCTCCTGGCTAAATATCATCTCCTGATACATGCATAATATCATCTCCTGGTAATTTCATCTCCTGGTAATATCTCTGCTTATGATAAGCAGGCGTAACAGCTAGAGCTGCGCTCTTGTTGTGGTGTCTGTGCGCGTCGTGGCGATTGTTGCGTAGTCTGTGCCGGCTCGCGTGCGTGCGTGCGAGCAATGCGTGCGTCTGTGTGCTGTGTGTGTGTGTGTGTGTGTGTGTGTGTTGGTGTGTGTGTGGGTGTGTGTGTGTACCATACCTACAGATGTGAGAGTACTATGCTAGAGCCAGAGACCCAAGGAAGTAAGGTGGTCAAGCGCTAGTATACGTCCGGATTTTTCGCCGGTAGCGCAGTGATAACTGTGTTAGAAGCCAGGCTTATAGCCTACAGGCGGTTCGCAGCATTACACACCACATGCACCACACACACAGCACACACACACACACACACACACACACACACACACACACACAACACACAATACACACACACACACCACACACACACACACACAGGCACGCACACACACACACACACACACACACACACACACACACACACACACGAGGCACGCACGACAACACACACACCACACACACACACACACACACGCAGGACGCACACGCACTACTGCGCGCGCACACGACACACGCCACGCCGCACGCACGCACACACACACACACACGCACCACCACCACGCACGCACGCACACACACGCACGCACGCACACACACACACGGCAGTTCACGCGACATCGCACTAACAAGTTCAGACAGAGACTTCCTCAAACCCAGCAGCTGTAGCGCAGCACGCACGCCCCGCGTCTATGTTACAGCGTGATTACACGGTCAGCAAAGATTATTGTCAAGCGAAGTCTCACATTATTATTATTTTTTTAAAAATTGTGTCTTACATATATATACATCAGGAGTTAATAGAGACAAAGATAATTTGTCTTTATTAACTCCTGATATACATGTATACGCGTCTACAAACATTAATATTTTCAGAATATCTATATATACAGCAAAGCATTCATCACGTGTTTACCGTGTTTCTGTTCGGTCCATTCTATCCATCCGTTCCTCTATCCCCTCCCTCCAATCCGTCGGTCCGTCCATCAATACGTCCCTCGATCCCTCCCTCCGTCCGTCCGTCAATTCTTACGTCTCCCTCCCTCCCTCTTCCTTCCCTTCCTTTCTGCCTCCCCTCCTCCCTCGCGTCCGTCTTCCGTCCCATTCTTACGTTCTCCTCCCTCCCTCTTCCTTCCCTCCCTTTCTGTCTCCCCACCCTCCCTCCTCTCCTCCGCTCCAGTCCGTCCATCTTACTCTCCCTCCCTCCCTCTTCCGTTCCCTCCCTTCTCCCTCTTCCTTCCCTCTCTTTCCTGCGTCCCCTCCCTCCCTCCCTCTTCCTTCCTTCCCTTCCTGGCTCCCCTTCCTCCGCACGTGCCTTACCTGAGGTTGTCTTTGTGTGTCGCGTGTCGTGCACACGCACGTGTCGAGCTTTCTGCTCCAGTGTGCGGATACATGGTCGCATCTCCGTGTTGTTCTCTTTGGCTCCCAGGAACTCGTAGAAAACCTTTTGTACCACTTAGACGGTCGAGATTTCGATGTGCATCAAGTTGACATTGTATTCCTGTGACACCATATTTGTTGTTTGGTGTTCAACAAACAACAAACAACAAAACAACCAACAAACAACAACGACGACGACGACGACGACGATCGATGACATCTAACAATAGTAAACAACATTCCACAACAATCATCCATCAACAACAGCAACAACAACAACAACAACAACAACAAACAACAACGACAGACGACAACGACGAGACGACGACGCGACGACGACCAACGACGCCGGACGACGACAGACGACGGACGAGCGACTACAACAACAACAATAACTAAGAATTCAAACGTAGAAACTTAGACATAACAGTCATATAGGATGTGTTCTTAATACAGATTGAGCCCAATACTAACTTATACAGTTAAAATATTCACGTGCAACCACTAATATATCTAAACGAAAAAATTAGCTGTTTTTTGTTTGATATACATGAACACGAAACTTGAAGCATGAATGCAAACGCACGAAACGAACACAAACCTCGAATATTTTGAGTGCCTTGCATTATCCGATTCCTTCCTTAGGGCAGGAATATCAGCGTTTGCTGCGCTCTCCTTATCTCGCCTTCGCGAATCTTCCTTCCTTTCTCGCTTTCATGTGAACCGCTCCCGCAGTCATCTGCTAGGATCAACGATATATACTATTTGGTTTATACCAGCAATGATGCGAGTTATATAGTAACGTGCGTGAACTTACTGATGTATGCGACAGTAACTTGATTATATGAGTATGGATATACGATTACTGAGTATGCGAGTATTGATATATGAGTATTGATATACGATTACTGAGTATGCGAGTATTGCTATATGAGTATTGATATACGATTACTGAGTATGCGGGTATTCGATTATATAGACGCGGGTGAGCATTTCTTACCTACTATGTTTTAAGCTGTATACTATGGCGTATGAATGTTACTATTACTAACTCTTCACTCTTACGTTTCGTACACGGCTTTTGCACACTAACAAGCGCACGCACGCACGCACGCACGCACGCACGCACACTAACAAGCACACGCACGCGTACACGCGCATATATATATATACACACGCACCCACACGCACGCACGCACGCACGGACGCACGGATGCGTGAACGAACGTACTAAAACACACACGCACGCACGGACGCATGCACGCACGCACACCCTTCCGTTGATACTCACATCGGATGTGTTCTGAGATTATTATGATGAACGTCATTTGATTTATTCGCGGTGATTAGATCGATTCTTTACGTTAGCTGTTATAGTCGCCGTGGCACTCACTTTCGCACGCCGCCGCAGCTATCGCATTCAAAACAGCTTCAAGGCCGCCCGTCTCTTCACTCACAAGCGGCCATCAGGGGAGCGCCGAGCAGAGTTAAAAGATGTCAACAACACAACAACCGTAATACAACGTCACAAGGACCTTGATGTATGTGCATGCCACGCACGCACTCACGCACTCACCACACACACACACGTAGGGCACGTCGGGTACAGCGTGCGAATGGTTATAATCATCATCACTCCTGTATTACTTGCGCGTGCACTGTGATACTGGCTTAAACTTCGCTACACCGTTACACTGTATATACGTTTGTTACTTTACACAGGCTGTACTGCTTACACTGTTTACACTGTCGATATATTGATACACTGTGATTACTGTTTACCACTGTGTTGCTGATACACTGTGAATACTGGTTGTACACTGTGATGATACTCTTACACTGCGAATACTCTTTACTATTACATCTATGTTGCTGCCTATGCACAGTGTTACTGTATCGTTTGCCTAGCTGACACCAAACCGTCGCGAACACACGACGCTCGACACAACGCTGACACTGGCGCTGCCTACACACACATTAGATATATATTAGGGCGTGACGGCAGCGCGGTGATGAAACACTGACGGGATGTTAACATACAGGGAGGCACCAGTTGTTTTTAAGTGGAGTGTTTACTGTTAGTATTTACCTGTATTATCCCTCCCCCGCAAACTAGCGGAAAATGCGATTATGGACAAACCATACACCTGTTGTGTTGACCCTCGGATCGGTCTTAGTTTGGTGATGTGAAAGTTATGTCGGCCTTGCCTCGATGTGGTTATGTGCGGCATCACTAAACAACGTTTTTTTGTTATATCTCACCTTATGCTGCGATTTATATGAAGACGCAGCGCTCTCTTTTGCACATCGTTTTTATCAGTTTAGTATTAGCTGGGGATATGGTGTCGATGAATAGACGTAGATGCATCATTATAGAAATTAAGAGACCAGAAAATATTTCTCACCTTCGATTAGTTCTAGCGGAAACGTGAGTGCTTCAAACGATGCAACAAACGTGAAGTAGAAGAGAGCAGCGAAA